TCTCGTCTCGGGTTTGTTTTTTTTTACTTTTTCTTCTTCGTCATATTTTCTTTTTTTTTGTTACCTTTTCCAAATGGAAAAAAAAGAAATAGAAAAAAAAAAGGGAAAAAAAACTTTTGTCGACAGTCGTCGTATTGTCAGTATTTTGAATTTTACTTTTTTCTTTTAACGAAAATATTTTTCAACCGCTTAAAAAATTTTCTTTTTCTCCTCCTTCTCCTCCTCCTCCTCCTTCTTCTTTTTTTTCTTTTTCTTCTGCTTTTTATTTCTTTTCATTTTAAATAAATTCAATTCCCGGGTAAATTTACTTTTTTTTTTTTTTTAAATAAATAAATGAAAACGACATAAATATTTTTTTTTCTTTTCTATTAATCATTATTTTCTCTCTTTATTTTCACGTCTCTCTCTTTTTTTTCGAACTTTTTACATTTTTTCCTATTTAATAATAAAAATAATAATAATAATAATAATAATAATGATGATAATAATGATAATTTTCATTTTTATTAAATACCCCCTTATTTTATTTTTATTTTTTTTTGCTTAATGTAAAAAAGTTTTTATTAGTTATTATTATTATTGCTTTCTCTCTCTCTCTCTCTCTTTCCTTTCTGGAGGGTATAATCCATTCATATTATTATCATTATCATTAGAAAACAAATTAAATAAGTTTTATTAATGTTTCCGTTTTTTTTTTTTTTTTAATATCAATATAAAGTTTTCATTATAAAAAAAAAAAATGGCTTCCGGGCAATTCCGATGACAAGGAAAAAAAAAAAAAAAAAAACGTTAAAACAATACGACGGCACTTACGAAAAAATTATTATTATTATTATTTTACGTTCACCTTCGGAACGAAACGAAATCGGTTGTTGTTGTTGTCGTCGTGAATACAACAATAGACTCTTTCATATTGTTCTTTTTTTTCCATTTGAAAAAAACAAACAAACAAACAAAAACGATTTTTTTTTCTTCTGCTTTTTTTTTGTCTTTTCTATTATCACTCGATACGCGAATAAAAAAAAAAAAATATAAAAAATGGCGGAAAACGAAACAAGAGTGGAGGGGGAGGGAAGTAAAAGGGGGAGGAAAAACTTTGTTTTAGGTTTTAACTTCATAACAAACGTTTACGACGACAAAATGTTTCGCAATTTAATTTATATATATAAAAAAAAACGTTTTTCCTTTGACGTCAAAGGCTTTATTTATTTTTTTATTGAATATAATTTAACAAGTGCAACACCTAAAAAAATTTTCCTTTTCTTTTGTAAAAAAAGAAAAAAAATTTTTAAGCATCTTATTATACCACAGCGAAAAGTTTCTTTCCCTCCCACATCCCTCCTTTTGGTTTTTTTTTAAACCGAATTAATAAATATTAATTATTATTATTATTATTTTCATTAATTAAAAGTTTTGTTTTGTTTTTTGGAAAAATATTAAAAAGAAAAAAGAAAAATGTGGTCGTGTTAAAAAGAAAAAAAAAAAAAATTTTCGTCAATAAAAAGCTTTTGTAAACGATAATGATAATGATAATGATAATAATAATTTGTTGTTTTTAACGAATCAAAAAAAACTTTTTAGGGGGATTTTCGAACGTAAAAATTAAGAAATTCCAGTTAAATCTGGAAAGAAAAAAAAAATTTTCGAAAAAGAAAAAAATTGTTTTTTGTTTTGCATGCAATAAGGGAATAAGTAAGAGAGAAAAATTTTTTTTAAAAAGAACTTCCTTCCCATTGTTATCATATGAATAGAATTGATCTTTTTAAAAAAAAAATTTACTTGTTTTTCTTAAATCTAGTGGATGATTAAACGAATGATTTTTTTTCTCGTTTTCGATGTTAAAATTTAGTTTATTTATATTTTTTTTTGGAATTTTTAAAACGTTGTCGTCGTTATCATCATCGTCGTAGTCGGGAAAAAGAAAAACAGAAAAAAACCGGAAACAAAGTGAGTGAGAGAGAGAGAGAGAGATTAAAAAATTTTTTTATCGGAGAAAAACGGAAATGAAAAACTTTTAAAAGTCATACGTATAAGTTATGGAAAATTATCAAAGGAGTGATAAAAACGAAAGGTACGCCGATGTTATTGATAACGAGCAAAAAATATGAAGGTGAACGAGGGGGAAAAAAAAAAACGAAACTTGACGAAAAAAAATTTTAGAATAAAAAAATGGAAACCGTCGCAAGATGAAAATGTCGATTCGGGGTCAACAATGAAATCTCACGTATTCATTATCGAAAGAGAGAGAAAGAGAGAGAGATGAAACATTCCAGGAATATCATTTTAACAAATCACGTGTCACAAAATGACATGTCGTTGGAAAAAAAAACAAAATAATTGGACGATGGGAAACAAATTAAGGATCCCGAGGGATCCGCAAGGGAAACCAAAAAAAAAATTTATTTTTTGTTAATATTAAGAAATATAAAAAATTATTGAAAAGGTTCTTCTTCCTGACGACATAAAAATAAATTAAATTTAAACAAAATGGCGCTGATTTGTACCGAATTTGTTAACAAATAAATAAATTTCGGATAAAACAAACGTGTCAGATTTCTATAAAAAAAACAAAATAATTTCTGTTGTAGGAAAACAATTAATTAATTTATCATTATTATTATTATCGTGTAGTCGGGGGAAGAAGATTTGATAAAAGTTCATTTAAAAAGGATAAAAGGAAACCGCAATCGTTTCGCAGACAAATCGTTTTTTCAAACGATCGATAAATGTCAACGTGGAATTAGAATATTTAAAAAAAAAAAAAAACCAATGAAAACATTTAATTTGAACGACGAACAAATCGTAATTCCTCTATAAACCGGAAATAGTTTTCGGAAAATAATAAAGTTAATCGAATTTAAAAAAAAAAAAAAAAGTGTCAATAGAAAAACGAATATTTTAAATAATTTATCTTTTAATTTCCCAAAAAAAAATTATTGGATGGAAAATTATTTTGGAGGTCAAAGGTAAAAAATCTTTAGGGAAAGAAAAAACAAAATGGCGTTGTCACGTGTAACGGCGTCCGAGTTTTAGTTTTTTTTTTTTTAAAGAAAATTTCGATAAAAATCATTGCATAAAAAACATTTTTTGATTTATTTGTTTCTCACCTAACCGGAAATCATTCGAATAAAAATCTGGAATGATTGTTACGTCATCGAATCGGAGTAGTAGGACGGGGGGGGGAAACGCGTCGAAATCGGGTCATTGACTTTTGTTAGATTACACGCACACGCACACGCACATGCACACACTTGAGGTTAAGAAAATCAATTAAAAATTCTTTTTGTGATACTGCGAACGACAGAGAGAGAGAAAATGAGAGAGAGAGGCGGAGGGAGAGAGAAAAAGAATTATTTTTATTAATTTTTTCACACGTGCAAATCCCTCCCCACCTCAATCCCCCTCCTCTTTCCTCCCCTCCTCTTCCCCTCCTCTTCCCTTCCTCATTTTTTTTTTTTTTTAACGCTTTGATTAATTTTATGTGACGTCATAATCGAAAACGAATAAAACAAACATGGCGGTGCACGAATTTGACGTTAATATTTTCCTCTTTTTTGCTTTTTTTCCTTTTTTTTTTTTTTTTATTGTCTTTCATTTTGGAAAATTGAAAAAAAAAAAAAAAATTGATGTGGCTCATCAACGAAATGGAAAATGTCAATGTCGTTTTTATTCCGGGGAAAAAAAATTTTTTTTTTATTCGATTTTGACACGTTTCAAATTTTGAATTGTTTTTTTTTCCGTATTGTTGCGTTTTTCGAAATTTTCAAAACGTTTTTCTATTTTTTCTCCGTGAATTAATCGCCGCCATTTTTAATTATCGTTAAATCCTACGGAGGAGGAAAAAATAAAAATGTAAACAAAAAAAATGGCGCCAAAAAAAATTTAAAAGAAATTTGTTTTTTATCTCTATGACTTTAATATTTCTCTCTCTCTCTCTCTCTCTCTCAATTTTTTTTCTCCTTTAAATGAATCATTTGTATGAATAAAATATTAAAAAATGATGATGATGATGATAATTACGGGAAGAAAAAAAATAAAAATAAATAAAAATGTGGGAAGGAGGAGAGGGGGGAAAGGGGGGGGAGTTAAAAAAAAAATGTGGGTGTAAAATTTAATTTCATTAATGGAAAACCGGAAAAAAAACAAGAGTAAATAAAAATCTTTTGACAAAATAAAATAAAAAAAAAAAAGACAAAAGTTAAATAATAATAATAATAATTTTTTTTTTGAAAAAAAGGCGGGAAATTTAAACAAACGAAATAAAACAAAAAAAAAAAATTTTTTTTCGATTTTATTTTAAACATTTTATAGTAAAAAAAAAAAATTTTTTTTTTTTTATAATAATCATCATTAAAAAAATTTGTGCCGTCGGGGCAGCAGAAAACATTTTTTTTCTTTTGTTTGTTTACACGAAACCTTGTTTTGCAAGGGAGTATAAATTTATCGATTTCTTAAAAAATAATTACCCTCTTTGAAAATTTAAATAATAATTTTAAAACCGACAAATATTTATTTTAATGACTTTTAAAATAAAAAAAAAAACAAATTTCTAAAAGGTTTTCTATTATTAATTTTCTTCGAATCCATTAATAATAA